TCATTGATGTCACGTAAGTACCAAAATATTTAACATTTACTTTTTGATTTTTGTATTTAAAATGAAGAAATATAAATTACTTATAATTCATTACTTAGATTTGTTGAATACAGGTGACTAATTTGTTTAGTCAGAGTAGCTGTTGGTATGTTACTTACAAACTGGCGTAATAAGAGTAAATATACATGACACTCCTGCTAATATTAATACCAATGCTAAAGACCATCGACGTCCAAACGGAGATTCAGGTAGAAAGATCGACAGTGTATATGCTGGTACTTCCACTGCTCCAGACACGAAAGCATTCAGGTAGTCATTGCCTCCTAGGTTGGATGTGTTAAGTGAAAGACCATAGTAAACTAAGCTGATAGTAAACCTGTTTGAAAAACAATGGTTAATATGATGAATATCCATGTCTATAACACTGTAAGCTTTTATTCATCAAAGAGAGGCAATCACCTGACAGAATCGAATTCCCATATATGTTTTATAGAACCTTACCAAATATAAAAGAGTTTTAAAGATTTCTTTCTCATATTTGGGAGGCGAAGGAGGTCAAGATAACTACCAGCATGTGTTTCCTGTAAGTATTAAACAAGATACATTATTTTTGTGACTATGTACTTTTGAAATCATATCATGTTGAAATATACATTATTATATACACTGCAAAACAGTACAAATATATACATCAGATTAGATGCAATTCATCACAAATAAATAATTATTCGAGTATTATTTGCACCAGGCCGTGGCGCCTAAATTTAGGAGCATTATATATACATATATTTATGAATGAGACTAATATAAAACGAGTCAAGGAGTTAAAACAACATGCTTAAACGTGGGACATACGAATCAGGAAGCTAATTTACATGTGATAGATGAAAGAAATGTTCTAATGTAGCATAATAAACAAAAAATACATTTATAGTGTAATTTATTATGATCCACCTACAATAGGTTCAAGTAGACTGACTCATCATTAATTGAGGAATTACTGGCACAATAAAGGGCCTGCTCGAAGGGGTGGCTGTGAGGAGCTCGCCTCAAATGCTCTGCTGGCTTGGACGGTTGATAGGAGTGCATGGCCAGGTCTAGAAATTAAGAAGGGTAAGTGAGAGCCGCAAATGCAATGCTGAAAAATAATTTGTAAGATAATTCCAGCAAATATTAGGTTGGGCAAAACAAAGTACATGACGTTACCCAAAAGGTGAAATTTGTCTCAATCAGTCATACTGATTTTGATATCAATAAATATATACAGCAGACTTCAGTAGCTGACATAAACATAGCAAACAAACGCCGAGCAAGCCCTGATTATGCAATTAATAGATTTATTAGATTAATGCCCAAAGACATCCAGCTGACAAGACGAATTTGCGGGGAACGTGCTTAAGTGCCGATGACACAATTAACTTGTTTTCAAAGGTAGTTAAGAATTAAATATAAAGAGTATTTGATGAGCTCTATAACCCTGCCAAACCTTTTGTTTTTGTTATTTCAATGATTCTTTATTTTGATTACAGTGCGATGTAGTTTGAACTAAAGTGTTTAGGTATATATGTATAACCTATCGTCATAGGTATATATGTAAGATTATTGCATACTCCAAGGCAAGTGGATTATAATAAATAGCAAATCATCTGAGTGTAGAACAATTACCTAAATAGTTAATTGCAGTGATAAAGTAGACCACTTGTAAGACAATAATATAGATGTAACATACCTTTACGTCCCCGGCCATTTCTGCCAACTCCTCATACACACAGGTAGGAACAGTAACTTTATTTACCTCTGCACATTTTCTAATGATCGCCACTGCCTTGTCATGTTTTCCCATGGAAATCAGCCATCTTGGTGATTCGGGAATGATCCTTTAGATGCATATAAGACATGTAGTTATACAAATTATTGGCGATATGCTCTGATATGCACACTACGTTTTGTGGGAAATGAAATACACATACGAGTGTAATTTGCTTTTGATTTTCCGCATATCTTTTCAATATATGTAAAATCCCGGTCTACACAATTAAACGAAGCAACAGTTTCACCTCCAATCGATCAGATTCAATCATATAAAACATCCAAGAATGACCTTGTTATATACAATAGGTCATGAGATTAGGCGTGGCCTGAACACTGGCTACTAAATTCACACCTGTCAAATTTAAATTATGTTATTGTTGATATAGTTTAATATAGTGTGGCGAAATGTTCTGTCTACTCAGTACTAGAGAAACGGACTTTTATGGACCACAATCCGAACGTTCATACGTGACCAAATGATGTGAATGTTCGATCTCATAGGTATCACAATAAGCCTACATTTCCCCCCATACTACGCCCGGTCGTGTTTGATCATACATGGATAAACATATTCCATTTATAGATTTACAGTGTTGACACTCCGAACTGGTTTCAGTTACTGGTACATTGCGTTCCCGGAAATAACGTTCGTAGCTAGTCTTTAATGATTTGCTGATTTTTGCCGTTGTGTTGTGGGTCTTGCCTTTACAAAACATCGATCACATAAAAATAGCAAGAACCTGTTATAAGTAATGATTATTTGGTACGATTTTAAACTTTTGTTGACAACAAATAACACGCTATGACACACTTACCACCAGTATAATAAATAAATCGTTGCCGGTAATGACAAGCACAACTGCAATATCCACCAGTATCTGATGAAATATGCCAGTAAAGCTAATAGCATATATCCGAATGCAAAATAATATTCCCTGACAGCACCAACAAACATTCGCTTTGAGGGTCCAACCAGTTCAGTTGCTATATTGAAGTAATGAAATTAATGCAGTTGAAATTGAAATTATTATTTATATTTATAATAATAGTGTAGATAAATAGTAAATTAAGAGATATATTTTACCTAAAACGAAGGAGACCATGAACATTCCCATGTGTGAAGCACCTACAAATACCCTGAATATGGAGTAGGCTTGGATATTTGGTGAGAATGCACAGGCTGTACCTGGAATCGCCATGCATAATGCAGATAGCATCAACGCTGGTAAACGTCCAATTCTACAAAAATATTGTCATGAAAAATAGTCATTTATACGTATACATTTATATACACATTTAATAAATATAACAATTGAAAATGTGCTATTTTTATTGTTTGAATAAAACTACCATTACACTATAAAACGCAAATGACTAAGTATAATTAGGGACGACCACCTATCCCATCACCTATGGTGCGAAAGCAATGATGGGAAAAATGACAAACTAATTAAAGGGTAAATGGGCAATTTAAGGGAAATTGCGACGGCCACTCGGAGCGGAGCTTCGTCACGGGACGTTCTACCTTGCTAGGGCGCGCACCACTGTCCCGTGCATTTCCATGGACTGTGTGTAAGCTGCTGTGAAACGCCTGTCAAAGAGCCGCAGCAAATAACTAAATTCGAAGAAACAGCACATTCGCGATGATGAAGTAATCTTGGGCAGCCAAATTTATATATGTCGCACATGGTGGGGTTAATATTTTCTCAGCAACTATCCTAAAGTAGCGTTTTCTGAGAGTTTTTAGTTTTTGTTTTAACCGTTATGGTTGCCAGGCTGTGTTAATGCCCGGATGTCCGCCCCCGAAAATACATTATTGGTCAACCATTACGGTATGTGCAAATAGGATCCCACCAAATATCTAACCATGTGCCTTGCATCTTCCGCAAACTGAAATAACAAGATTTGTTAAGATGATGATATGCATTTATTAAATATTCACTGACTTGTCAGAAAGAGCTCCAAATCCTACAGACCCAATGAATAATCCAGCCATATAAGCAGACGAGGATAGTGCTCCCAAGTAATATCGATCACACACTAAATCGAACTGCAACAAACAATAATTTATACTTGAATACAGTTTACACAGAACAAATATATAACATGGCGTTGATGAATGAATAAAGAATGAAGGTCTAAGACTACTTTTTGTAGCATATAAAGTCATTTCCAATTAAACGGTCAGATTAAATTAGAGCAGATGGCATTGAGCAAATAAAACATAACTATCTTAGTTCCCGAATATAAGTTGACATAACAAAGGTACATGTGCTTTAGTAGCATCTAGCCAGCTAGGCCAAGTGCATCAGTAGCATTACTATTCATGTCATGTTACATGATAATGATTGTATGTCCCACTCTATATACACTCGTGTACATATAACTTATTTTCAAGAACTATGTTTGGTCAGGTAGTCCAGTAATAATGTACCCACCGAATGTGACAATCAAATCTAGGGTTCACATAATTAATCCATGAGCAAGCACAGCCTGTACTTTATCTAGCTTTGTGCATAAAGCATTTTTGTCATTAGGCCAAGCATTATGTGATGGTCAAAATGATTATAAAACTGTATCACTCTGAAGTATATGCCACTAAGTATACAAATATAACTGGCATGTCATGTTTTTTGACAAGCTCTGGTCAAAACGACTGAATTTTGTGATATTTAGCCTTATTGTCGGTCAGTTGATGGTTTTTAAAAACCATAATCGGATAATTTTGTATTTTTCTATAAATAAATTTTATCAGAACCCTGTAAATATAACAGAAATGATTTCAGGGATTCGTTAGCTTGTTTGTTGTAACAAAATCAAAATGAGGTTTCCTAAATTCGACGCTATCATCTACCACCACTACTCTCCTACTACTACTGTCTTTTATTAAACACAATTATTCCATGCATATGTTTAAATATAATATTCATTCATACTTGAAAACAGCAGATGTATGCCCTGAGGATAAGGTTGGCTAACAAAATCAGTTTAAAAACAGAAATTTACCTCAACCAAATTTTAACGCCCGAATGATTTGAAGATATATTAATTATAAATACTAACGCAAAAATCAATATTTGTTTTGTTTCATAATTCACAATATGATCCTGAAACTCACCTCCTGAAAGACTGTTGACCTATATTGTGATCGGTCATATTTCCATCCATGATTACATTTCATAGTTTTCATAGAGTATGACAGGTTTTCATAGCGTTCACAATTACTGTACACCAAACCACTACCACACTGACTAGAGCTTTTCACAGATGGTATACTCTGGTTCTTTATAATATCTTGACAGAACGTAACTGAGTTGTTCAGATTGCATTCATCTTCATATTTCTCCAACTCCGGAACATAGCACCAGTGGTCAGTCTTAGCGGCTAAGAACACTTGGGCGAACGCATGGCACGCTGGTAAAA